AGCTCGCAAATGCCTCACAGCTGTGTCTCAGATTGTTATTTAAATTTGGCTGTCCTTCAAGGGACGTTAAAGACCTGATTATACAAAATAATTGCGCTGGGTGAGAGCTAGCGGATGCAATGGAGGTAAGTAAGACTTCTTAGCGGCCTTCACTGCCATCTCATAGGTTTTCATAAAAACTCTATAAGATGTTGTTGAGGCTCCGTCACAGGCACCCCGCCATACTCGCTCTAGCCGTCTGAGGTCCCGCTTCATTTTCCGAAGCTCCTCGGTAAACCAGGGAGCCCGGTTTCTGCGGAGTCGCAGAGGGCGCTTAGGTGCGATCTCATCTATGGCTGCCAGGAGCTGGGTATTCCATTCCTCAACAAGCTCAGTCAATGAGTCGCCAGGGGGAGCAAGGTCCCGCAAGGCTTGACGGAATCTATCAGTGTCCATCAGCCTCTGCGGGCGAGCCCAAATCGGCTCGCCACCTAAGCAGGGTGGGGGTGGAAAGTCAATCCTGGCTTTCAGAGCGTAGTGATCAGACCATGGCACCTTCATCGAAGGAGACATGATCACATCTATACCTACGCCAAAGATCAAATCCAGCGTGTGGCCTGCTTGATGTGTGGGGCCTGAAACAAACTGGGAGAGCCCAGTTCATTCAAAAAATGAAGAAGTCCAGAAGAAAAGGCACATGGGTTGTTCTTAAAAGTTCCCACAATGCATTTCACCAGTACTTTTTCCCAGGGAGTTCTCAAGGGTATGAAGTACTGGCACCTCCCTTTTTGGTTTAAAAGTGTGGCACTTCATGGTGAGTACTAGCACCTATTTTTCTAGGGGGGGAAACACTGCATTTCACACAGCATACATCAGTGGTATGTCACAGAAATGTGGGAATGTTCAGGGTGGCAGGAGAGGATATAGTGTTTATTAATATCCTTCCTAACTTGCGCTAGCAAGTTCCTTCACTTAGCAGAGTGCATTCCCCTTTACACAGCAGAAAACTAGTTGCAAACTCATGTGAGTTCCTTAAGTCATGTTACGGTAAAATCTGGGTGTGAGGCTGCTCTGCCACCCAGCTCGTCGGACTAAGTCCGCGGGTCCCTGTGGAGGAAAATGAGCTCAGCCGGAGACAGGAGCAAGATGCAGAAGATCCAAGTTTATTGCGCAACAGGTTCAAGGCGAGATTGAACAGCGAGGAAGGGGTGACATGAACTTTTAAAACTTCCCTCCATGTCCCAGAATACAGTGCAGAATACATCCCAGTTACATCATGAATACATTAAGAAGAGGTTGGGTTACACAGGTTACATCATGAATACATTAAGAAGAGGTTGGGTTACACAGGATTAACATATGGAGGAGGGAGGGGGGAATATGCAGAGCTGGAGATATGCGCAGATAAGCACATCCTGAGTACCAGTGATGAGAAGACAATGGTCCATGTATGCATGGTCTGCCGCCTGGCATTGCCCAGAGGAAAGGCTTGGCAGAGTGATTTGACAGGATTAGGGTCTTCCTGAGAGTACGTGACACCTCGCTTGAGGGATTATGGAGGACAGGGGAGGTGTCATGGAGTCCTAGAGAAATTGAGCAAATTGGCACCGAAAGCAAGAAAATCGGTGTTACGGTTGATTTTCTATGAATTTTATAGATTTTAGTCCCTTTTGACATTGACAATTGGACTCGGAAATAAATGGATATATTGTAGCGAAGAAGAAGGTGAAGAAGACATGCCCCCCCCCCTTCTGTATCAGACAATACGCAATTCAGTCTGGCTTGTCCAGATTGAAATGTGTTCTAATATTTTCCTGGTAAGACCCCTTGAATCCCTCCTAAAAGAACAAAGACACCACAGTCTTATTCATAAGTAACAAAAAGAAAGTTTACTCACGATCAGGCAGAGGACAGTGTAATTCCTGAAGGCAGGCTTAAGGCTTAAAGTTACATACAAACAGGTTTACCCTGTATGTGGGTTGACCTAGTGACTGCAGGTAGCAGTCTGGGAAGTTTGCAGGACGAAAGGAAGATGAGAAAAGAGGAGAGTGGCAGCATGCCTTGGCCTTTGACCAGGTCTGGAAAGGTCACGCCCTCCCACTAGTCACATGCAATGGAGGATGCTCCAGCCCAGGAGCAACAGGAAGTTTTGATACCCTTGCATGTCCACTCTAGCAAAACAAGGAATGTTGTACTTGACTGCTCCCAGTGGATTACATCCCACATGAAAGGCTGTGGTGTCAGGCAGAAGTCTGAGATCCAGACATGCCCCTAGCAGAAGGCGGCATTTACACCTCCTTTTGTCATTAAAACTTGGTTGAGGCAGCTTCTTTGCTCTTCCTGGGTCTCCTTCCCCTCTGAGGCTGGGCTTTCCTGTGGTGATTTTGATAGCACCTAGTCTGGCAAATGGGAGGGGGATTCAGTCTGTGATGATACATCTTGAGGATTATGGCGTCCTTGTTCCCTTCATGCCGTGAGTCAAGTCCCCTCTGTCCCTGGATCACAATTTTATTATCCTTTAGCACTAAATGAAACCATTTATTTTGCTATTTTTTTGTGAATTTCTTTGTTTCAGGAAATGGGCTTTTCTCCTTTGCTCTGGAACAATGCTGTTGTCAAGCCCTTACAGTGCAGTGCTCAGCTCAGGAGGTCAACGCTTCTGATGGGTTGGTTAGGGTACCTCCCCTTTGTCCATAACAACTCCAAGAAGTTGCAGATCCCATAAATGTTGGGTCGGCCTACCAGCCACCTTCCAGTGTCTACTACCACATTGCCTCCTTGACTTTCCCTCCTTATCCTGTACCCTGCAAATGTCAGCTTGTTCTTGTGACTTCAGTTGTCCTTTCTTTTGTTTCCAGTTGATTTTGATCTGAACAGGCAGTCCTTGACCTGTGCCCAGTGGCAGACACAGAGCCCTCAGCAGCTGTTCTAAGCCTGGCCGGCTCTCCCTGTCTCTCTCAGCTAAGTGGCATCCTTGCTAGCCCTCCCAGCTTGACAGGCAGCGTGAGGCTGTTCCCATCGAAAGAGTGAGAGCTGGAATGTGGTCAGGTTCCCCTGTTGCTTTCTAGAGGATGCACTCTCCTTGAGTGGGTGCCTTCGGCACTATCCTGCGCTTGAGTGTCCTGGGTTTCTTTGGGCCTCGTGGGAGACTCTTCAGGTGGGGCGTAGGAAGGGGGTGCAGTGGGGGCGGTCTGCCCCGGGTGTCCCCACTGAGGGGGGACAAAATGCCAGGCGGCACTCACCACAGGGCCTGCAGGCTCCACGCTGCCCAAAACAGTCTGCCCACCACCTCCCCCTCAGCTGTAGGCTGAGTGAGAGGAGGCAGGCAGACTCCTTGGAGGCTTCTTGCCCTGCCTGGCCCCGCCCCACGCACATCTGGCCCCGGACCTGGGCACAGGGCACAAGCGCTGCCCCAAGTGCCCGATCGGCTTGCTCCGCCGCTGTCTTCAGGTGAGCTTTCTTCAGTCCATCTTTCTGGAAGTTGACTGGAACGGTTTATGGCATGGGAGTAATGTTTAAACAAGGCAGGATTATGGAAGACATACCTTACCATAACAGAGTCAAACCTCGGCTCCCGAATGCCAAAAACCCGGAAGTAAATGCTCCGGTTTTCGAACGCTTTTCGGAAGCCAGACATCTGATGCAGCTTCCGCTTGAGTGCAAGAGGCTTTGCAGCCAACTGGAAGCTGCGCTTCAGCTGTCAAACATTTTGGAAGCCAAACGGGAGGTTTGACTGTAATGGAAAGGGATTGCCTCGAGTCAGTGGCCATATTCATTTGTGGGCCAAGGGGGTTGGTGGTCCTCAGCCACGTTCCTCCTTGCTTACAAAGTCAGAGAAGAAAGGTATGAACTCCCCCTTTGTTCCTTTGGCCCTAGAGGACTCTTGGCTTCCTCGTTAGCTTTTCCAGCCATGCAATATCCCACACTTTCATGTTTCAAGTGGCAAGACTGGCCCCGTCTACGTTTTCCCAAAACCCTGGTGTCATTCTAGCTACTAGGAGCAGCTGCCCTGTCAAGTCTTATGGTGCAAATTCTGGCTCCCTCAAACATAGACAAAAGTGCTAATCTCCTAGGAGTCAGGCACCATGTGTGAATCAAGCCCCCTCCTCAGGCGACACTGACCCCTCCAGCACCCGAGCCAGAGCTGTTGTGTGGGGCTTTGGCCTGTCATTCGGGGGTGGGACAAGTGTATGTCTTGAGTTGTGGGGGAACAGGGCTGGCTCCTTTCTCTGGCGCACAGAAGTTTGGGGCCTGCCCCTCCCATACTGAAGGGAGTCCTTTATCAGGTTAGCTGGACCCACACTCTGTACAATCTGGGGCTGCCCCAGTGTTATTTTTATACGCTGAATAATTTGAACTTAAAACAAACTGTTGTTGGTGAGGGGGAGACTCTCTGTGCCTTTTTGTGTGTGGGTGTCTGTTGCTCCAGGTGTGTTGGGGGGCAGGAATAGGTAGTGCCCCCGCTTCCCTGGCCATTCCTGGTGTTTGCCCGGCCTTTTGGGTCTGAGCCTCAGTATAGTTCTCTCAATGAGGGGAGGGGGCTGTGTCAATATCCTGCCCCCGCCCCCGTGATCCTCTGTGTTTCCTGGGCAGTGGAGTATCTGCCTCTCAGCCTGTTGAGGGACTCCCTGCCTTCTCCCAGGGTTTTTTTTGGGGGGGACGGACGGTGGTGATGTCAGTATTCCCTCTGGGATGCTAACATTCAAACACTATGCTGGCCTTGAAGGTGATTTTTCTGACAAGCTGAACAATAGAAAGGTTTATTTATTGGTTTTCTGCAATTGCCCCATGAGGCAGTTCTCTGGGGCAGGCACACAGCATTTAAAAGAAGGTTTAAAATATGTAAAAGGCCACTCAAAAGCCCCTAGCAAGTGCAGAGAATAAACCCTTAGCAGTTGCCTTATCAAAAGCTGTCGCCACCTGCAGCAAATGTTCTCTCTAGCGGGTGGGGTGGTAAAAGCAGCACCCCCCAAAACCCCTGTCCTGAGGGGGGATTATTGCCCCTCCCTGTGGAAAAGGTGGGGGGCAGTGTTGGTGGAGGGAAGGGGAGTTGTCTTGTAGCTGGTCCTACGCACGAGTTGCAGAAGAAGGCCCAGATCCTGGTTCCTTTTCATCTGACACGTACATAGACGTTCTGGCCAACCCTGCAAGGAAAGAGAGAGAGAACTTTCAGATAAACCATTCAGTTGGCATTTTCTTGGGTCAGGAGGGCTCCTGGACGACTCTGGCATGATTTCATGTTCGTGGGTTGGGGCTCTTTGCAGACAGGGAGTTGATGGAGGGTGGGGGCTGAACTGGGGCCTAGGCCCACCTTCGTGGGGGCAGCCTGGTCCCCGATATCTGCTTTGAACTGTTACGGAAATGAGGGGGGGGCAACCATCGGGAGCAGCAGCGAAAAGTTGCTTCTTATTACTAGGAAGGGAACTGATGCTCAGCCCCGACGGCGCTCCTTCGCCCTCGAGGTCCTCGCCTGCCTGTTTTAATGGACGGGGGACGCCCTCGCCAGTCGGCCCGTCGGGGCGGCTTACCGGGTGGCCTTCCAGTTGTCTGCGTGAGTCGCCACCTCCTCCCGCAGCAGCCACGTCGCCTCCAAGAACTCGTCGCCGTTTTCATCCAAGAAGCACTGCCCCACGAAGACGGTGGTGGAGTCTGGGGGGGGGGCAGAGAGAGGGAGGTCGGTGGGCTGGCGCCGAGCCGAGGCCGTCCAGCCTCTCCTTCAGGGGCGGCAGAGCGGGGGAGGGAGCTGCTGTCCCTCGGCTGGCCAGCCCAAGTCGGTCCCCCGACGCCACCGCGTGAACGAGAGGGCCCCTGGCGGCCGGGAGCCCTTCTCTTCTTCGTCCATGGGGCTGCTCAGACCCTCCCTCTCCCCTTCTGCCCCCCCCCCCCCGCCTACCGTAGAAGGACCAGTTGACGGAGAAGCCGAAGGTGGGCTGGGCGCGCGGGGGGTTGGGGTGCTGCGTGCCGTGCAGGGGCGACTCCCGGATGGCGGCGTCGGGGGCAGCCGAGACGGCGGCCAGGTAGTAGCCCGAGAACTGGCCGGCCGCGTTCAGGGGCCCGATGAACATCCGGGAGCCCAGATCGTTCACCCACATCCCCTGCAGGTTGCACTACGGGGCCAGAGGGGAGAGAAGCGGGTCAGAGAAGGGACAGTGGGAAGGGACCCCAAAGGGTCATCAAGTCCAACCCCAAAGACTACTCCCCCCCCCCCCAGATCAGAGAGAGACCCCTCGAGCCCGGACAAACGGGCGCGGAGATCCAAAGGGGTGCTTTGCGCCCAGTGGAGATTGCGCCTGCTCGCCACTTTTCGATCCCATCCGAAGGAACCTCCTGCAAAGCGCCTGCGGCAGCTGCTGCACGTCGGAAATTAAGACCCCGGGAAACAAGGAGGGGAAGCCGGCAGCAGCAGCGGCTTCAAAGGCCCGCAGAGAAACACACAGCCCGCCCCCCAAGTGCGCCTCGACAGCTCCGCTCCCTTCGCGCTTTGACGGGGACTTCTCTGTATCCCCACCGGTGCGGCGCTGCTGCCTTCCCCTTTCGCAGACGGGGGGGGGGGGCGAGACAGAGACCCGGGTCCCCTCCGAAGGCAGCCGGCGCCGCTTGCCCGGCCGCTTGCCTTCCCTCGGCCCGGCCCTACCTTGGGCAGGGGAGGGGGCTGGCTTTCGGCGGGCGAGAGGGAGAGAAGGGCGCCCAGGAGCGCCAAGCCTGCCAGGCCGCCGAGAGAGACCGTGCGCTGCGCCATCCTCGATGCCGGGAAGGGAATGTCCCCGTCGAGCCGGCGGCCGCCCTCTTATAGCGCCCGGGCGGGCGGGCAACTGCGCAAGTTGGGTGGGCGCGGCGCGGAGACCGGTGCCAAGAGGGCGGAGGGGCTGGCAGAGGCACCCCGGGCATCTCCCCCCCCCGCCAGGAAAGATGTTCGACCACCTGCCAACAGGCACCGTTATCTATTTATTTGATTATTTCTTTATAGATATATATATTCATATACTGCTGTACCATAGAAATATACCACAGCTGTTTAGGACAATATAAAA